TCTTGCGCGAGCCGCTCCCTCCCGCTGCAAGGCGACGTGTGGGGGTGCCTTTAAATTGTTTTGGAGGGAGCTGCTGCCCGCTCAGTCTCATCTGTGATGTAAGAAGAGATTTTAGGTGTCTGCGCCGATCGCCTGACTTCGCCTGTCATTTTCTGCCGGGCTCCTCTTCTCTCTGCCGGTCCGCTGCTGGGTAGATGTGTCCTTAAGCACTTCCGCCGCCAAGCAGCAGCTGGCCCGGACCTCGTCTCTGTCCCTCTGCCCAGCTTGACCTGCTGGTGCGCGCTCCGCTCCTCGCTCTCCTGAGTGCGCAGGCATGGAGGAGGAGGAGGAGTGCAGGGTGCTCTCCATCCAGAGCCATGTCGTCCGGGGCTACGTGGGCAACAAGGCGGCGACTTTCCCCCTACAGGTAGGTGGAAGAGCCAGCTGAGCCGGCCACTCACGCGCACCTGAAGCTCCCGCCGAGCGGGCGGCGGGCGGGTTTTCGCCCCGAACTCTCCCGCCTGCAGCGCTTTGCTGGGCACAGCCTCGAGGAGCGCGGAGGGCGCTTTCTGCCGATGCACGTGCCCTGCTGTGACACTGTCAAGTGATCTGCCCGCTGCTGCCCTAAAGAACTCGCCTCTCGCTGTCCAGAGGGAGCTGCTGAGTTCATACGTGCAAATCCACTCTTCTCTCTAGGCGAGGCTTTGATAGGGCGACTTAAAGAAGCCCTTGCTGGCCCAAACCCTTGCACCAGGCCGCGGGTCTCACCAAGGAGATGTCCAAAAGCCTTCCGTGCTTTGTTTTTATTATATATAATAAGGGCGTTTGTTTTTGCAGCGGTTGCCGTTCAGGCAAGTTTCTTATTCCAGCAGTGCCTTTATCCCAGGCAAACAGAGCGAGGTTCAAGGAATCTGGTAGAATAAGAGAAGAGAAGTGGGCCTCTCTTCATTCTGGGGGTGGTTAGAAATTGCCCGTGGAGGGCTTAGTTGACCCTTATGATTTTTTTACATTTTGTGAGGAGGGAGAATGAGAAATGTATTAATTAGGGCACCTTAAAGGCTTGCCGAGATAGGTCATCCAATTCAAGGAAATGTAGATGAGTGATCCTTTGAAGACTTCCTCTTCATAAAATGAATACATTTTATAATTTATGTCATCTCACTTTCTTCATTCAGTATTATTAAGTTTAGTCTGCTTATTCTCTTCCCAAGGTTAGGCTGTTGATTTTGGTGGCATAATCTTAAAATACATTTAATAATGAAACAGAGGTAGACAATATGTTCACTTTGTGATGTTTCAGATTATTTTAATACCTCTTGAACATTGGCTATACTAGCTGGGGTTTATGGGAGTTGTAATCCAAACCACCTGAAAAGCATCTGTTTGCTGGTCTAATCAGTTTATTATGGCATAATAACTTATGTCCCTTTCTGCACTGCAAATAAAACTAACTGGTCTGTTTCTACAGAGAAAGATAAACAGGATGCAAATCTGACTTCACAAATGGAAATATTCAAGAATTAGTTTTAAAAAGGACTTTCACATTCTATGACACTCTGCCACTTTTATTAAGGTGGCCATTGATGAACAACAAAAAATAATATGTATAGCTTTCATTGTGAAATAGGCTACAATTCATGAAGAAGTTCAGGTCTTATCTCCTAAAACTCAAACAAAAAAATCTTTAACACAAGTATGTGATTTTGTTTTTAATCAGCTCACTAATACAAGGAGCTGTACCATGAATTGTGACTATTAATGAGTACAATATTAAAATGAGTACATTTCATTCTTTTCTCACTATCTCCACTTCTATCCATTGCCAAACTGGGTTTCTCAATATATATATATATATATCTGACTCAGGTTAATGTTTTATTTAATTTCTGCTGGCTAAAATCCAGGAAAGCTTGTACCAAATAAACATGGTACCTTTAAGGTACCATGACATCCTTAGTTTTTGTGGCAATGGACTGATGTAATTAGCCCTCTGGAAAGTGTAGAAGCGCTAGCAGAAACTATTCCCCAAAAACTGTGCGTGTGTTTTTTTTTAATGCAACACATACATATGTAAAACTATTATTGACCATTGTTGCAACCTAAGCAATGATTTCTGTACATGAAATTGGATCTGAAATACATATTTTATACCCTTTTGGGGGGAAAGTGGGAAACTGTTGTACCATATGACTTCATACCATTTTTCAAAACTGAATTACATTTCTTGAAATAGGTAGAAGTGTTTTTATGTATAACAGGGGTACCAAAGAATTGGAAAGGAATAGCCATTGTATGTTACATCTAGTAAAACTGTTTCTGTATTACATAAAATTGACAGCTGCAAAAGATAAATAACTAACCTGATCCCCAAGTACTTCTTCCCAAAACTGTTTGCCCAGCTGCAAGCACAAATCAGCAAAAACATCCTGCATATTGTAGTGGATTCATGGCTAGATGTTGTTAGTTATAATCTGCCTTTGTACCAGGTATTTTATACAATAAAAACGAGATTAGCTTTTATTGCAGCATCTCTTTTCCAGTATATGAAACAAATTCTAAAAACTGAAAGTGTTTAAAACATATACAGCAAAAGGACTTTGCAACTACTGTTTTATGTAAAACACATGTTTGATACATGCAGTGTGCAGTGATGGACTTATTACTGTCACGGCAATAGAAGCATAGTGACAAAAGAAATAACACTACAAATTGCAATCAGAAAATAATAAATAATAGTAAATATGCTTTTCTTGCTTTTTACCATATTTATATATTTACCTTATTATATCCATTGAATTATGTTTTTGGCTTGGTTACAGAAAACACTGGTTGGTCTCTGAACTATCACATAGCATTTCCTCATTTTTGCAACTATAAGTCATTCTTTTCAGATTAATTTGCCTTAGTAATTTAATGAAATATCACCCAAAAAATTTCTATGGTGAAGATTAAACACTTAGCTATTGTAATTCTGGGAAGGGATTACTTTATATTTTTAAAGTAACTTAGGACTTCTGTGACTAACATAATAATTGATTTTGCTGGAATATATGTTCCAAATTATGATTAGAAGAAGAAAAAATAGTAAAATGAACATTCTTGTTTTCACTTTTTAAAGTTTACGTGATTCAGGAATGGGAAAAACTATTCTGATAAGAAAAATGTATATCAGTAATAGATCCATATTTTACATATAGATTTTTGTTTTAAAATGATCTAAAATTAAGTGTACTGAAAAACTTTGAACCGAAAGCCTAAAAAACTGTTGTTGAGTAGAGACAGTATTAGGCTAAATAAACAAACAATCTGACTTGGCATAACTTTCTGTGTTCCTACGTACTAGTTATTAGGAGGAATCCCAGAAAACTGTTCCTGTTCTGCCACTTCAGTAAGCCTGAACAGCTTTCTATGGTAGAAAGGTGAAAGTACAAAT